ATTAAGGCCTGCTAAAATGTGTCTGCCAACAATTATACTGGGACACAAGTACATTTTTCATTTATTTCAGTAGGTCAGATTAACAAGGCTGCATGCCACTTGGTCATAAAAGGTGGACAAGGCTGTCGGTTCTGATTATTGTTGAAGGAATGGCATTTTAAAGAAGACTTTGCTAGAAGAGAGCACATCTTTTGCTAACTAGTAGTTTAAATGTATGTAATTATTAGACACTTTCTATAGGATGTTAGAAATTTCTGTAAAAACTCATTTTTTTATTTCCCCTCTTGAGTTCAGCTTTTTTTCTTTTCAATTGTCTGCAAAAAGAAACATCTTTATGTAAGCTAAATAGATAGAAGAGAGATATTCTTATATTTCAATAACTCTTGAAAAACTAAGCCTGTTTAATTTAAAATACCATAAAGCAAATTATTATCCTACTGGAGGACTGTGTACATCAAGCCCAAGTTTACATAATTCATCCTCTATATTAAATATCTCAAAAGAGAACAACCTAAAGTCATTTATGCTAAAGGAGATTAGCATTTTCTATCTAGTTCACTGTGTTTTGGGTAATGGTGTCTATCTCCTGTAACACAGATGAAAATTATATTTAATAATTCATTGTTTATTCCTAAATAATATGGGCAAACATCACAATGATTATGTCATTGTTTATACAGAAAAAGAACATCAAATCAGATTATTTTGTTGTAAGTTTCCTGGGGAAAATGGTGTACGAGTTACAGGCCATCTCTAGATTAAACATGAAAGTAAGATAATTTTCTTATCAGATCATCTTAATCCAATAAGCAATAAGTATCTCAAGAACTAACATGGGATGTTAGCAGATGACTTATATATCTCGTTTTTAACTTAACAATAGTATTTACTAATCCAAAAATTTAAAGACTTGAGCAGTCCCTGCTCAGAGTCATGAGGTTGTTTCACTGTTTTTGTGAATGTGCATTAGTTGGAAAAAATCTATCACAGAAATATTAGATTCAGAAATAGTTTATATTCACTTTGTGATATTGAATAAGGTCCAGTGGAACCCAATTGTCAAAGTGGAAAATACTACTTGTAGAACCACATGAATTTGGCAAAATAAAAGAAATTGTATTGGCTTAGTATTAGGCTATTTAGAGCAATGAATAATACCAGGACTTAGGAAATATGTTTCTTTCTTATTACCAAATGAATACAACTTATAATTTTGAGTACTCAACCCAATGTAAGAATGTAGGAAAATTGTTCATTAATCACAAATCTGTTTTATGTATATAACAACACATAAAATTTAATAAGAAACATAGAGAATAAGTATTGCCTATGTTTCTGATATAATTTCAATATAATTAATTTCTTCACTTTGTTCTTATTTCTTAAGTATCACAATTCACAATGCTTTCATATTTTCCAGTTCTATTTTCAGAATGAAGGGGCACAAAGTTATTTTTAAAAATTCTACTATTACATCATTTTCTTCCATTTTTGCCTGAATTTACAAGTGATCTAGATCATTAATTATGTTTTCATAAAATTATATTTATAATAAAAATGTAGGAATCTTTCCAAATAGACAGTATATGGAAACATAATTTTGGCTTACATATTAGGACATTCAAGCATTTCATTATCTTATATTCTTTATTTACATCAGTCAGAAAAAGCCCATTATTTGACATATGCATTAAAAGTTGATAACGGCTGCCACTAGTTAATTGTATATGTGTGTGGGGAGTGGTGTAAATGTATGAGTACACATTCATAATTTGAGACCAAAACATGAAAACAGTACAATTCGTAGAATTAGAATTTTGTGAAAATGTGCTTCCAGAAGAGGCAGTAGACAAAGGAATAAGAGAATGGGTTTCTGGGTTTAAATACTATTTCAGCCACTTACCAGAAGTGTTTCCTTGGGAAAGTTACTGAACCTCTCTGGTTTTGGTGGAGGTGTAAATAGTACTTAACCCACAGGGCCATACTGAGGGTGGAATTATGTCTGACATTATTGCTAATATCAATGAACCAGAACTTACCAAAACAGATGAAATGAAGGAAACAGAGGAAAGAGTGAGGGGCTTGTAATATTCTCCTCCCCTAATTCTTTTCTTTCTCTACTTCTCCCTCATCTATTTCACTGCGAACTTTCTTGGGATTCCATTCCCATCTCACTAGTCTCATTCAACTCACTCTCTGGCATTCTTATTCAACTGCATGGTTTTATTTGCCACCTATCTATTCAATAATACATGAAAAAATGTAATAATGCATGGTGGGGGACTACAAAGGACTTAGTCGTAGACAGGATATAACTCAGTGAAGTTATGGTTTAGTAATAAAGACAGAAAATTCACACACTAGCAGAGGGTGGTATGGGAACGTGACTCATATGGGTCTAATCTAGTCAGAGAATGGAAGGCTGCCATCTGAAATTTGTATTTAAAGTTGTGTCCCAAAAGAGGAGCAAAGGATTGCCTAATGGAGCCAGAGCTGGGAGTTGGAAATAATTTTCTAGGCAGAAGGAACTACACCATGTGAAAACCTAGAGGCAGGAAAAATGGGACACACTGGAGCAACAGAAATAGGTCAAGGCAATGGAAGAGGGATGCCTAGCAGGGATATATTACACTATCTTAGAGAGACAGGCACAAGGTCCTGCAGACTAATTTTAGGGAATTACAAAATATTGTAAGCATAATAGAAAATATTTTAACAATATTAAGAAGAAGAGTTGAATATAGTTTGAAAAACGACCATTGGTGTGTGGATTGGAGTGGTACAGGAACAGACTCATGGGGACCAGTCTGGAGTGAAGCCTGGTATAGAAGTATAGAAGTCAGCCAATATTTATTGGATGCCTACTGTGTGCCAGCCACTGAAGTTACATAGTGATCATTACTACTATTATAAAGTTTATTTTATAGTGTAATGAAACTGAAATCCATAAATACATATCCAGACAAACAAGTTTACTTTAAATAGTGATGTATCCCACAAAGATATTAAAAATAATTTTATGGGATAAAACATTTGGGGAAAGAAGAAGATGTGTGATATTTTAAGGAATGTGTTCTCAGTGATGCCTACCTGGCATGACAATACTTGAGTAGATCTAAATGATAAACACCTAGAAGGTGCTGGCAGATGCAATAGCCACAGCAAAAACTCTGAAGCAGAAATGAACTTAATATATTTTAAAAAAGATGGAGAGAGGACACATGCGATTGGATTGTTGTGAATGAAGTGGAAGTTGGCATGAGGTCCAAGAAGTGGGCAGGGATGATGATGCTTCAGCTGTGGCTGTAGTTATGGCAGTAGCGTTCAGTGGACAGATCTGAGAGAATTTTGAAAGTAGTGATAATGGGATTTAGTAATGACTAGTTGTAATAGATGAATGAAAAAGTCAAGGATAATACTTATGGTTTTGACTAGACACATTTCTATGGTGGGCACACAAAAGGAGGAAAGTGTATAAAGGGAACAACACAACTTGCAAAGTTTGAAGTTGTGCTCCATGCTATCCACGTGAATAAATATGTAGAAAAGGGAAATTTGATACTTGGGCTTAGAGTTCAGGGGGAAAAGTGATACTTATTCTGATTAAGATGAAGAAAGCAGAACCTGGAGAGGCTACTTAACTTGCCCAATAATGCAGCTATTAAGTGGTAGAAAAAGGATAAAAGCAATATTTTCTTTAACTTTTGAATTAGGTCTGATGTTACTAGTCTTGATTCTGTTGCCTAGCTGTTTTTGGAAGTCTCACTTCATTTATTCAAGAGTATCTCATTTGTTGGATAATCATAATAATATATGAACTATCTGTATCTATAAAATGTGTGAGGGAAAAGGGCATAGTAAAAAAATGAAGCAATATGTGAAAAAGCTCTTTATTTATAGAATGTGTTAAATGAATAAAATATATAACTTGCATATATATCATCTCATTCAATATTTTATTATTTTCATGCTTAAAATATATTTATACCACCTCTTGCATATACATGTTTAATATATATTTACATGCAAAAATGGTATTAAATCAGTCATTTCCATAGGTGATAATTATACCATCTTTTCTATTTTCATCGTTCATTCACTGTAGGTAAAACACCAGCCTTTCCTCTCTACCTTTCTTACTTTCTGACTGCCTCGTTGTCTTGTTTCTTTCCTTCATTTCTCATTTTATTCTTTCCTTTCTGTCCTCTCTTCTATTATTCATTTAAGCATTTATTTATTTAGTACCGACTGTGCTGAGACACCAAAATAGTATGATTGAGAGTCCCAATTTCGAAGCCCAGAATAAATTATGAATGGCTTTGGTTACTACGTCTCGGTTGCCCATCTCTTCAGTGGGAATGACAGTACCAGTCTCACAGCACTGCTGGGTAATGGAATGGGTGACGCATGCAGAACAGCATCCGGCACACCGTACATGTCAATGGAAGTGTAACATATTACTACTCCTTGCCAGAAACTATGATAGATATGAAAAAGTTGAGATGAATAAAAGTATGGATGGCCCCTGCTAATAACATTTAATAGCCCAAGGCCTGCAGAAACAAAATCATAGTCAGACATGAAAAACAAATAACAACAATAATAAATGTGTTTTATTACCAACGTAGCTAAATACTGCAGTAACATAGAACAGACGCTGTCTGATATAATAGTAAAATTCTTCATACAAAATAAATATTTTTAGGTCTATGAAGTAGCTATTGTTTTATCTGATTCCATGAGAGTCTCTTATAAATATAGAACTAGACACTGATATTCCCCTGCCAGATTACGATGGAACATATCCTGAAGCAAACTAGAAATGCATTCAATTTTGCATCTGTAGACATTTGTTCTGTCAATAGGATTGCCAACAGGGTATATATAATCTCACAGTTAAACTACAAATAACAACTGTAATGAAACAATTGTTAGGACAACACAAGATGTCATGGACGCAGCTTGCAGGAGATCCTATCTTATGGAGCCCTTATGCAGTGAATGGACTCAGTTTAAGGAGGGCTTAGTAGAGAAAGTAAGGTTAATCTGATTTCTGAAACATAAGCAGGAGTTAACCATCGGATGTCAGGCTGGTTTAGGGGAAACAATGCTACTGATATTAAAGTGAATCTCTTTCTCTAAAATTATTTTGAAACTTAGTATTTGTGTGTATGTTAGTTACAACTATGTGATGGAACAGATATTTTCATTAGTTATAAAGGTTGTAGATGAAATCATAAAATATCAATCTCTTTGAGTTTATACTAGAGTCCATATTTGTGCAGTAGGTCCATATTTGGAAGTTTCTCATATAATAATTAGGTACAATGATCCCATATATAATGCTAAACTTCCAATTCATTTAATCAAACTAAATAATGATATATTTTTTGAAAAACTATTAAGCATATTCAATGCTATCTTGAAACTTTATAAAATTTGGGAGTACCTTTGTAACCTAAAAAATGTTACTAGGAAATAAGAAATTCTCTCGTATACTTCTTTGAACCACCACAGTGTCAGCAGTCATACCCTAAATAAGTATATTAATTTTATAGAAAGATAAAAGAAAAAGGAGAATAAATCATTTTTGTTAATTTGCATCAAAGCAGTAAGAGAATGAGAAGCATGTGGTTTTGGCACTCATACAGTGAGAGTTCTGGCTTAAGTGTAAAGAGAAAAACAAACCTGGGCAATACTTTGTGATAACATTATCATTTTTTGAAGTATTAAACAGATTAAATAGTATTAAACAGTATTATTAAAGTATTAAACAGATTATTAAACAGTATAAACCCACAGTCGTTGAATGTTATACACTACACTCAATGTATATATGCTTATTAGAATGAGCTTTATGTATGTTATTCAATTGACAGTTAAAAATATATAAATATGCTCACTATCAGACCCTTCATGTACACTGAGGAAAACTAGAACTCATAGAATGAATGTGATTTGTCCAAAGTCCAATGGCCAGCAAAAGACTAAGTTGTGATTCAAATTCATGACTGTATGACTCTTAATTATGATTCAATAATGTCCACTTTTCACAGCCTTTACTAATTGCTAAATATCTCCCCAGTTTTACTACATATATATGACGTTTCTTCATCTATACAACAGGGAGTAATACCAATTCCCTTATAAGAATGTGAACATGGAATGTGATAAAGATATAAAATACAGTATTCAGTTACTGGCACATAGCATGTAGCTGCTAATTCATATTTGTTACTATGAAACTAAATTAAATGGTATCAAAAATGACAAAAATCTCAAGGCTTCTTTTCTTTTTTTGAAAGTAAATTAAAACTGTGTGTGTTGATCCACTTAGTTTACAATGAATAGTTTTTAATAGATGTGGATCAATGAGATATCAAATTTCATTCTTTATACATAATTATATGCCACTTTTAGTAATCCATTTCCAACACTTGCAGTTCTAATATCTTGGCAAGTATTGACAGGCATTCCTTCTCTCTCTCTCTCTCTCTCTCTCTCTCTCTCTCTCTCTCTCTCCCCCTCTCTCTTTCTCTCCCTCTCTCCATCCCTCCCTCTCTCTCCCAGTTGGTGTTTCCTTATTTTATGCCAAGGATTGTAATTTTTATGTTACATCTACTTCTTCAACCCATGTATGATAGTTTATAATTTTGATCTTCTTGTAGAAGATAATAGCATTTCTTTTAATAACACAACCATCACTCCCCCCATTAGATTAGAGAGGTCATTGTACAGAATGACTTTGCACAATTGTCCAAGAATACTACCCTAGCTTTGTTATTTTATTTCATAGAAGTTTAAATCACAATATATGTAGGAAGTACAGAATTTTAAGTTCTAAGATTTAAGTGGTTCAGTAAAAAAAATATTCAGTCTTCAGTTTTAAAGCATGGACTATTCAACCTTATGGATACCTGCATCTTTGTGCCTGCCAGAGATTTTGGCTGATGTTGCCAGAAGTCAAACTCACTGAAATCTGTTCTCCTGATAGCCCTTGAGCAAAAGAACTTCAAATCCGATATATAAGATCAGGGCATCATAATCAATTTCAATCTTCAATCATTTAGTACAGGTTGACCTTAGGATGCCTGTAGAATTCAACAAAAACTGTTACTTGTGTTTAAAAATCTACTTGTGTTTTACTTGGGAAATCAAAGCTGAATTTGACCTCTGAAATATCTAATTTTTGACTAGACTGGAAATTACTTTGATGGTTTTCATGTAAATTGTTCAAGGAGGCATAGTGGAGAGTATGCATTTTAAATCGTAATTTCATCTGGGCTATAAAATGTATACAATTTATGAGTTAAATTTGAATTTTTCATTTCTAAAATTAAGATATAATTGGGGCATAAGTAAAATTTATTGGCTATCATGATAGTCATTTAGCCCCATCAAAGTGTCTTATCCAAATGATCATTTGTGCACATATAACACATTGTAATTTTTCCAGAAGAGGGTGATTTTCTTATTAGATGTTTTTAGAAAATATGTTTACTTATGAGTACAAACACGTTAATCACACCATGAATTGTTTGCTATACTGAGTTAATTAGAAAGATATTTTCTTTCTAGGAGGAGAAATTGTCTCTAAGGAGACAATTTTAATATGAATTTGCTTTCTGAGCAACAAATTTATATTACTGGATTTAAGTTAATATTTTATTTTCAAGGTTCAATCTCCTTTACTTTCAGGCCATTATTTGTTATTTTCTTCAGTATTTTACAAAGACCAGATATTTTATAATGTTTGGTCCACATGGCGTAGTATTTATCCATATAATCAGATAATGTATTCTTTATAGCAGCATATAAAATTTCTTTTAAAAGAAATAAAAATAATTGCACATTTCTTTTAATGTGGAAGTAAAATAAATTAAGTTCTTTATAAGTAATCTTTATTAAAACTTGAACAGATCCAAGGACTTGAAGTGTAACAACAATTTATTATTGATTACTTGGCTATTAGACATAATTTTAATAGAACTTTCATAATTCATTTGATCAATATGTGTCATTGATTGTTTTTGTAAATAATATCAGAAATACATAAAAACTCACTTTTAACACACTTTATATTAGTTCTTTATTTTTTTTCTTAGCACCATAATGAATTCAAGAATCTGGCCTTTTTGCCATCCTCAATCTGATCTCAGATACCTCTGGAAACATCTTGTTTTTAATGTAACCAATGTTTTAGCCCATGTTTACTTTTCCCCCAAGATCTAGAATAGTTTACTCAAGCAGGAGGCCTGATTTCTTTAGTAAAGGCAGTGTGTGGTATCAGTCATCACAGGTTTTGTTATCCCATATGGTTACTGGTTTTTGACAAGGCAATACCACAGGTAACTTGGATTATTTCCGAAACCAAGCAGAAAAATTTCAGGCATGAGTGCTTGCCAATGTTTTCAATTTAACTGTATTTTCATTTATTTTATGTTTCTCTCTAACAGTGTTTCTCCTTTGCTTTGCATTTGAGTTCTTGGGTAATATTTTATTCTCATCCCTATGTTTTCAACGTTTTTTTTTTCCCCTGCATAAAATGAGAATGGCCAAAAGAAATAGAATATTTTAAAATAAATTTTACAGTTAGATTATTTTTATGGCTATTCTGGATTATACAAACTGTTGGAAGTTTCATCTAGTTAAATGACTGTGGTAATAAATTTATATACCAGATTAGAGGTCACAAAATCCTATCACTTATGGAATACTTAAAAACAAAGTAACTCTCAGAAAACTATGCAGTGGAGATATTTTACCTAAGAAAAGACACAAACTCTGAGTAGTTAGGATCAGGATTCAAAATGCCATAGATCTCCTACTACTGTATCTAGATACTTATTTTAGATAATCTACTTGAGACTGGAGGTTGGAAATAATTTACAGTCTATACCTTTAAAGGTAAATTTTCTACAAAATAACACAATCAATAGGAAATTTATTTTAAAGTACATTTGTAGAACAGCAATTTAAATATGAATTCTCTAATATTTATTATAGATATTTCTTCTTAACAGATTATTTAATATTATTTATTAATCATTAATACATTATAATAAGTAAAGTTTATTTTATTTAATATACTACACCTAGAAAGTACTTACTTCTCTTATATTGGTAAATTTGAAGTAAGAAATTATTTTCTAGTATGCCACTGCTTTTTATAATGAAGGCTTATTTATCCATATTTATCTTCTTAGCTGAAAACCAATTTGCTAATTTTGAAAAAAATAAGTCTTGAGCTTTGAAAACAATGGAATCATACTGCTCTATAGCACTTTTGTTGAGGTTCTATCATTTCAACATTTGACAAATTTAAAACATTTGACAGATATATATATATTTAATATATATTAAATATATATATTTAATATATATATAAAATAAAATATAAATACAATAATATGTGTTTATTTTATCCAGGATAAGTATATATGTATATGTGTGCATATATATATATATATATATATATAACCATACAAAGAACATATTATTAAATCTCTCTATGCAATTCCTTTAGTGTAGTAGAAACTAATGACCTAACTATGTAAGGCTCCATTTGCATGAATGAATATCTTAATTGAATTGACTGATTATTGAACCAAAATCAATTCAGTCATTCTCTTTCAGCTACATATGTTGAATATCTACTATAAAAGAAAAATTCCACTAGATATTTATTCAAAACATCAAAGAAGACTTTATTCAAGATTATTGCAATAGGAGTGAAGAATATTGAAACGGGAGAGATTGAACTCAACTCAGACTGAAACAAAAAGTGAGAGGATTTTAAATGCTGAGGTCAGTTTACAGGAGGCTTTCCCTTAAGGAGGAGGTTGGTCCATGTGTTCAGATCATCAATGTTTGCCAATTGCTGCTTATTGAAGTTAGACTCCTACCTTCCCACAGAGCCTGGGAGATGGGAGACTATCTTTCTTGATGGTTACATTTGAAAGGGATAGTTGTCAGGTCCTTGCTAAAGACATCCCTCCTCTGGGGAAGATTCTCAAGGAAGAAATAGAATATACCACAAAAACGTTTCCAAGGTAAATGCTGTAAAGAAAAAAAAAAAAAAAAAAAAAAAAGGGAGGTCAAGGGCCTATATACAGTCAGGAAAATGCCTGTCTGAAGTTCAGTCAAGTTCAAGGAAACCTTAAGGCTTTCTTGGTTACTAAAACACATAGAACCTTGTGAAAATTCTAAAGCAAAGAGCAGACAGAGTCTCTTTCTTTGAGTAGCTTTAGATGAAGTATTGTTATAGGCATCCAGCTCTGTTTCTTATATAATCCTAACTTGTGGCTTCAGAAGGCATCAGAAGCCATCGTTGCTTCAGTCTCTGTTGATGGAGGATGGTGCAGACACAGTAATCTACACTCACATTCACACACATCCATGTATTTTCTCTCTCTGTCACACACACACATACACACACAGATATGTGTTACATAAAGAGACATAAAAAATTGTCGTTTGTAATAAGGTCTTCAGCTGAAGGTGATGCCTATTATAAGACAAATGTAAACAATAAATCTATATATACAGCACTACCACATATACAGAAGATATTCAAGGATTATGCAGCAGTTGCCTGGGTTCTTTAGGGATTGGTATTAGTTATGTGTGCATCCTACATATCCTCCTCAATGCTTCATGTATGTTATTTTGTCAGTTGCATCTCTTTAGGCTGTATATCTTAAGACATATTCTGAAGACAATAAGGAAAGAATTTACTAAAACATAAAACTATAGGAAAAACTAAATGATGCTTAATTAATCATATAAGTTCTGCAATGAAAATGACTATTTTTATCCTGATATATTTATTTTCCTAATCTCTAAGGACCTTATTATTTTAAAATGTTTCTAAAAAATTAATTTAGCTACTTTATTTGCTCTTCACCAGGTAATAATAAAAAGTTAAATAAAACATTTTAAAATTATAAAATAAAAACATAGTATACATGTGTCTGACTCACCCCATGAAAGATCTAATTAGCATGTGTTTTGACTGTAGTCACATAAATTTCATCAAAGAAGTGATTTTACACTTTAAATATAATTACCCACTCAATTGCAGTATATATTTTTAACTATAAAAGTAAGATTTTCCTGTCATAACATCTATCCCAAGAGAGTGATTTTGCAGCTTTAAAAATATTTTCTAATTAGCAAAGTATATTATTCTTAAAGTACAGTTGGACTCCTTATTTATAACCAAACACTGAAGACATGCAAAAATATGGCCATATAGTACAGTAACTGTGGGAAGCAAAGAAAGTTGGCAGATTTATCAAACAATCATCTGGTTCCAAAATGGGGAAGATGAACACCAGGTGGTGTGAAATAGGACACATTTGAAGGCAGGAAAAATAATATGCTGTAGGCAAAGGCTATTGAATGACTTTAAATATGATCAGTTTTATATCTTAGAAAGATAATATATTGGCAGTGATGTGGAGCATGGATTAACAGAGGGAGACAGAGAAGACAGGCAAGGGGGGCTTATGAGAAATACAGTTGCCTAAATTATGGCAATAGCAATGAAGTTTGAGCAAAGGGGAAGGACTTTAAGAAATATGAAAGAGTTAGGATTGACAGTGAACATTTGGACGTGAGAGGATGTGATGCTAGAGAGATAACTTACAAGGGCTTGGATATTTGCTACATGTTGTGAATATGAATTCTGAAAAAAAAGCAAGTTGTGAAGAGTAAAGTGGTTCACTGGTGTGCAACCTCTATTTAAGGTGCCTGCAGTCATCCACGGAAATAATTTTATGGTTAAAATGTACCTTTGCCATGTGCAGGATGCATTACCTTGGGCAATTTACTTAATGTCTTTGAATCTCAGTTCTCTTGTTGTAGAATGGAGGTTGTAATAGCTAATTCACACGATTATTTTCCAGATTGGATCCATTAGCGAAAGCTATCTTTTCCTAGGCACTAGGTTTTACCACTCCGGCTTTTCTGGGCCTTAGTCAGTAAATAGTTCTGTTACTGAATTAACTTCAGTGTACTTCTATCTTGCTAATAAAATGATTTAGACCCATGTGAAGTGACTGAAGTTTAAGAATAAGTTCCTTTCAGG